TTGGATTTAAGTGTCATAAATAAATAAATAAATAAATAAATAAATAAATAAATAAATAAATAAATAAATAAGAAAGATATCATCGCCGCGGGAGGGGGGCGATGATAACTTCCTCAATGGCTCAAGGGGGCGTTTCTTTCAAAAAGGTTAAGAAACACTGATCTAGACTATGTCTACTCTGGGCGGCTTACAGTAAGAACATGGAAAAACAACATATCAACAATTCAAACAACACTTCAAATCAATAATACAGTATTAGTGGCATTCAAGATGGAAAAAAAGCAAATTGGAAGTTAAGATAGAAAAGAATGGAGGGGAAAGCCAGAATAGAGGAAAGAGCCAGCCTATGTAGCCTGGGGCAAGCTGCAGCGTCCCTGGGCTCCCCCTAGAGGAACGGAAGGGGATTGTTTACCCAGAAAATCCTGGAAAGGGTTGCCCATAAGTCAGAATCGACTTGAAGGCATATTCTTGTTATTTAATAGAGAACGAATTGTTTCAGAAAGTGCTGTCAACCAAGGTGCATGCTACCCTGGCATCTTATTTTGGCAAAGAAAGAAACAGGAAGAGCAAGATATTTGAAACGTTTCTAATCACAGGAACGAAGGGGTCACAGGCTGTGGGCGGAAAGGTGGGGAAAACGGATTTCTGGGACCTCCATGACTGCTCACAGTGCATTAAAGTTACCTCACACCTCAACGCAAAAAGGCTCCCGGCGTGACTTAAAGGCCGGCAGAAGAGCCGAGACATTCACTCCCCCCCCCCGGGCACTAAAATAATAAATGGCTTTTTAAAAATCGACAATCTGATTAAAAGGATGGAGGACTGGAATCCCAGCCGTCCATTCCAAGTGGGTTAAGTCCGTTAATCCAATCAATTTCAGTGCAGAGGCCTAATTATTGTTCGGGGACTCATTTCATAACCCGGTGGAACATTTAGCTTAGCCCACCAAAGCAGGAAGGTTCAAACCATCTGGATAGATGCCGTCGTCCGGATGATGTTTCTGGCCCATTTTAGCCCAGAAAGGTTCAAGCGCTCGGCAGAAGTCTGTGGAGCAGAGATCCTTCCCAGTCTGGAAATATCTGGGATTAAAGCTGGAAAGGTTTGCAGGAGAAGCAAGGACTTCTTGCCTTGACCTAGCTTGTTCTGAAACAAGTCTGTAATTTGAAGCAACTGTAAGTAAAGAATTTTTTTTTCATTCTTTCTCCTACAAACGTCCCAGACTGAATGACTGTAAACGCCAGTTAAGGAGAAAGGGGTGGATTCTGCAGAACTTTGTAGCTATTCCCCTCTGTGGATCTCCACTTCTACTGTGGCAAAAATATATATAAATAAATAACAAGGAATCCAAAAGACTGCAACAGTCAAGATGCCAGAATCCAAGAGGCGCATCGTTCTGGAATGTCAGAAGCAGCAAAACGCAAAAAGAAAGCATCTCTTTCCTCGCACCCAGACCTTCCTTCCATGCTGCACCTGGACACACACACACCACGTCAAAGATTTATTGCTTTCTATGGTGCATCAAGAGGGGGAGAGGCCATCGTTACAACATGCCTGCAAAGTTTTTCTCTCCCCCCAAGGGGTTTAAGGCAGCTGCCGTGTGCAAGGAAAATAAAGAGGGGGGCGGTGGAAATCCCCATTTGCTGCGCCAGCAGGAATGAAATATAAACTCCCTGGGGCCTCCCACCTCTTCTCCCTCGGCTGCCCCTTTCTTCTCCCTAAGCCCGGCAGCTGTCGCCTTTGTTTGGGGGGCCTCCTGGTTTCCCCATTCAGACGCACGTGCTACGGGATCCGCACATTGTGCGGGCGGGTGGGTGGAGGGCAGACGGCTATCCATCAAACCTGGTCTCTTTCTGCACCCCCGAGATGGTCTTTCCGATATTTGGCTTTCCAAAAGCTGCCATTTTTATCAGCCTCATTTGCGGGCAACCCGGTCCATCTTGCGAAGGGAGGCAAGCGGCCAGAGGCTAACCACGGTTAAATAGGTCTGCGGTATTATCCCGAGACAAATGCTTTCAAGCAGAAGCTTTGCTGACCGTCGGGCAGCGCCCCAATCCTAAAAAAAACACAAGTCATTTTGACATTTCAAGTTAAGCCCTTTGTTTTCCCCTCCAAACTACAGAATTTCAGGAACACACGATGTTTTCGTCATCAAAACAGCCAATCTGATATCCTTTGGACCTTGCCAAAGTTAAGTTTTTTGGCATAAATGACTCTGAAAAGCTGGCAGATCCCAAAAACTGTATCAGGGCGGGTTTGATTTAAATCCAGCGGCTTGAAATCACAATTTATATTTTAAAACATGGATTTATTTTTTGGGGGACAATTGAAATGTTAAAATCTCTTGTTTTTAAATCATGATTTAATTCCGTTTGATTTTTTTAAAAAAGCATGATTTAATTCAATTTGACTTTTTAAAAAAATCATTGATTTGTATCCACCCTACCAGACACTGATTTTTCTAAGTTCTAATGTTACAATTACCGCTCAGCCCACAAAATGCAATCTAGCTGGATCAGACCAAAAAGGTTTTGTTGTATTTTGCGCTATCTCTAGTGATGGATCGTAAAGAGGCAAGCTTCTCCTTCTGTCTACCTCCGTCATTTAGTAAATTAAGGATGTATCACTCCCTGTAAATGGAGGTTTTAGCCCGTTTGCTCACAAAGCGGGACAGAAATTGTCATTTTAAGCCAGCAACCATTACTCCGGCCTCTTGCATTCCATAAACCGACGAGGCTAACTTGTGAACAAAACTCTTCTCTGCGAACTTACGAAAGTCAAATGATTTTAGCGCATGACTGAATGGGGCGAACCGCTTCACACCAGCTTTTCAATGTTTGTTTGCTTTTAAGAGGACTTTGTGAACTGGGTCAATGTCGTTGGCACTTCACA